AGAACTTGATAAAATTTTAAAACAGAAAAGGAAGAAAATAATAATAAAAAAATGGAAGTATTTGCAATACATGGAAAAACAAGAAATCTTTTGGATCATGGTATGTAAATTCTACTCATCTTATTATCCTCAAAAACTCAGATCCAACAAAATTTAAAATTTCTAGCAGGTGTACAATTCTGACGTATACAATATCTTATTAGATACTAGGCAGGACAGGTTGTGAATCAAGTAGAATATTGAACTATTGGCCTAATACACTGAGTTTCCACCCATGATTACGCAATTATATATGCTCACAATATTTATATTCACCGGCAGCTGAAACTCATTGGGATGATAAGGTAATTTTTGATGTGGAGGAGAATATCGATGGACGTACACATATTGTTTCCTGTTGAAAGACATTGATTATTCCTATCTGTCTCTGATTCATGCTTTCAGCATTTTCGTATAAGCTTCTGTTCATAATCTAGTTCATGATTACAGTCATTTTAAATTGTTTATGCCAAGAAAAAAATATAAAAATTAGAGAAACATCTTATATATATGTATATATATACAGTTGCATTTGCAGTGCACAGTTGTAGACCTTTCGATACCGCTGCTGCTTTTTGCGCATGTCTTAAATATATTTGTACGTAGAGATTTGCGACATTGCTTACATCTACAGAAAAATAAATTAGTGTGGTTTATATTTATATATACATCTAAACTGTGCCTTGGAGGTAATCATTTATGGATTTTATTGGGTTCATTTCATGGAGTTTTTCCAGGTTTATTTTAGGTTTTCAGATAGGATGGCAAAGCTTCTCTACCAATGGAGTCTGGATTTTGAACAGTTGACCCTGCCTAGAAAGAAAAATAACAGAACTCCTGCGAGCCTTAGTTCTGAACTATATAATACAATAAAATATGACTTAATCCATCCGGTCAATAGTTTTTAAAAAAAAGTATTAAGTAGCAAATGATTACATAGTAAGAGAGAACTCGGAAGGATGGTTTTAAATAATGGTATCAGGCTGTATATCGGTGTCGGTGATATGGCCATACATCTACCGAATAATATATTAGTAAATATTGATATCACAAGTCTAAAAACCTAATATATATTTTTTCAACCGATATTTAAAACCCTAGAAGTGATTTTCCGGAAACATAACTGACAGAGTGACAAAAGTTACATTTCTTTTCCATTTTCATCAAAGAGATGTTGGAAAGTACAATTTATATGGTCACTAATGTACAAAGCAAACATTAAATAAAGCACCCAATATTACACTGCAAGACAGACAAACACAACCAAATAAAAAAAACACACTAGACAAGCTTGTCTATCCTCATCTAGGCATGTTCCTAGAGGATTATACGCCATAGCATTTCTGCCATTTCGGCAAAATTTCATTGTTAGGGTGTATAAGCCCACCAAAAAAAAAAAAAAACCCCCACCTTATGAATGTGAAGATTTGCTTTCTTGATTACATGGCCTTAACAGCATGGAACCTTGGTTCTTTGGGAAGGAACTTTTGCTCGGCATAAACCGACATGTAGTCACCAAACACGAACTTGGGATAAGCTTGATCCGCCTCTCGGTCCACCTTTTCCACAAGTTCTGGTGCAGGAGCTATGGTGGCCTTGAGTGACGGGTTGTAGAATGAAGCAATCGATCTCCTGTTCTCGCCTGGGATGGGTAGAACTCGGTGCCAAACACTCTTGTACAGACCGTTGCTCAAGACCTCAATTTGGTCACCAGTATTGATGACAATAGCATTGGGCAGTGGTTGGACATCGATCCATTCTCCATCTTTGTGGATCTGAAGGCCTCTGACCTTGTCGTCTTGGAAGAGTAAGATGACGCCTCCGGCGTCAGTGTGAGCTCGAAGACCTGTCACCATCTCAGGATGAGGACAAGGTGGGTAGTGGCTCACCTTCGTGCCAAAGAAGGCATTTTCTCCATATTCACCATTGAATGCCTTCTTGATGTATTCCTTAGGCAATCCCAAGTTCTCATCCATCACTTCCATGACCTTCTCGGCCAGTTTCTTCAATTCAGACCGGTATTCTTCCATCGTTTCCCTGTCATCAAATTCAAACTGTTAAGTAATGTTCTTAATCAAATGCGACGTATTGAATCATAAACTTGTACTAGTTTTTTTTATAGCATTTATCGATTAGAAGTTTGAAATGTCCATATTGGAAATGAAAGTATTGTATTGATCTCTTTCTATATGTTCACTTTTAGGTCCCGTTTGTTTGGGGTTATAGGAAGGGGATTGGGACTACTAATACCTTGGTATTACTAATACCTTGTTTGTTTTGAGAGATGGCCTTGGAACTACTAATACCTTGGTATTACTAATACCCTTACAAGGGGGATTCATAGTGAGGAGGTAGAGATGGTATTAGAAAAATAGTGAGGGGATTAGAATTTTTTTTTATTTTTTTTATATTAGGAATTTTTTTAAAAATATTAATGTTTAATTTTTATATTTTTTTTATTATTTTATATAAAAATAATTTAACAATTTCTCACTATCAATCCCCTCCATTCTATCTCTGAAAACAAACAGGGCCTTAAATTTTGAGGAATTTTCACTAAGGTGATAAATTGGATTACATCCGTTCGTGCTTTGTTTGTTTGGTTGCTCATAAAATTAGGTTACTCTTGACTGTCTTCCAAACAAGAGCATTCATAGGATTTAGGAGATAAATCAGAATGCTTACTTGAATCCAGGAGTCTTCGATGGCCACTCGTTTTCATCGGAGAGGAGGAAAACATCCTCCCAGTCCACATTCTCCAACTTCTCGCTGTCTTTCTTCTCTGCCAAATCATTCAACTTCTTGACCATCGCCGAGTTCTTGAAATCTTCTTCTCTTTCCAGCTTGTAGCATTCAGAGCACACCTTCTTCACCCTCTCTAGGAGCTCCACTGAAATACCATGGTTCACCAACTGCACCATATCAGAATAATCACTTAGGCATCCTGGATATTCTTACATTTCAAAAATATGCTATCAGCGATAGTCATATATGCTAAAAAATATGCTAGATATTTCACTTCTGCACCATTTCAAAAATATGCTCAAAAAAATGTTGTTAGTTTTAAACAAGTGTATCAGCAATAGTCATATATGGACTATAACAGTGAATATCGGCATTGGAAGTTTAAAATCCTGGTACGTATTGGTTGTTTAAAGCCCTAGTTAGCAGCTATAGATTTGAATAACAATCAATGTTCAAGTACCTGAAAGAATCCCCATTCTTCGCACCCGTTAGCTATCTCAGCCATTGTCTTGGCCCTCTCTTCTCCATTGAGCTTCGAGAAATCAATCACCGGGATTGCCATTGAAATGTTAGAGAGAGAGAGAGAGTGTGTGTTGTGTGTGTGTGTGTTGCTTTGTGATGTTTGCAGAGTTGTGGTGAAGAGGGTGACTACTGGCTCAGCCTATTTATAGCCTTTTTGGTTCCCGCCATCTTGGATGTCAACGCTTTATACATTATATAATAATTAGAATTATAATGTCTTTCGGTTTCCAATTTTGATTAAAAAGTAACCGTTAGAGGGGGTGAGGTGTTGGACGGTGACCTATATATTTTAAACTTTGAAGAAAAGAATGTCAAATGCTTTTGTGATTGTGAGGGTTTGTTGCTAGCCCACAACAGAAGCATACTCTCTCAGGTGATTTATTATTCACTCAACCCTAGGGCGGTAGCCTATGGGATGGGAGATCACTTCAATTCAATTGGCATTGGTGAGCAAGTGACTCCAGATTTGAGAATTCATGCTCATATTCTGCTCTCAATTTTCGCTTGGTTTAATCCTAGAGTGTTATGGCTCAAGCCGTCTCGATGAACCGTCCCTCATTTTCTCGGGTGTGGTGCCCAACTCTCACAAATTCATCTAAGCTCCTCTTGTCTAGCTCCCGAATGAATCAGGAATCTTTTGGTCACGTTCAAAGAAAATTGCTATGGGGCCGAGACAAAAAAAAAAACCATCGAGAGCTACCCATTGAACTAACCAATTATAAAAAATTATTAATTTACGTAGCATTTTTACTAAACAGGTCCATGCGAATATAAGCTCCATCTGGGTTTCTGCCACGTATCAGCCTTGATGGTCCCATCTGATGATTGACTTTTTATGGAGCCATCTTTTCATCAAGAAGAGCATAAACCTTGATCCAAGTGGACCTCTACATAACCTGTGAATTGGTTGGTACGCAGTGGGGGTTTGAGAGTAAATTATAAATCGTACAGTGGATTGACAAATTGATAAATCGCAATTTAGGCAGTTTAGTGGATTAGCAGATTGAAGATTATTATAACTAATTATCAAACATTTGCGTAATATATAACATAATTTGACATAATACTTGACATGAGTAAGCTCATAAAGATTATAGCCCAACATTTAGGGCCCAGTACATAACTCAAATACTAAAGCCCAGCGTTGCTGAAGCCCTACGTAGCAATTAGAACCAAAAACATCAAGACACATGGCAAAAGAAAGGCAAGCCATATAACCAGACAAAGATCTGCAAAGTTATTGTCACTGCACATCGTCATTAATGAAGCCCCTTACAGCATTTATTACGATAACCCCTCTCCGTCGGGACAGAACGCCTCCACCATGAACAAGGTAAGTTAGAGCATAGACTTTCGGCCAAGGTGACAGGTCGGAAGGGACAACGAAATGATTATCAGAGGATATAAGCAGACATTGAAGACAAGGAAAATGTTAAGCTTTCTATCTCTAATCTATCTCTACATTCCACTTCTTTTTCTAACTTGCTCGTCGGAGGGTTCGTTGGGGGACTCCTCATTCCCCGTTGAACTCTTGTGCAGGTTCCTCCGTGGGCTTGGTCACTTGGACACCGGTTTGGGAAGTGTGGATCAGTCCGACCCGTTCCATCTGGAACCCGCTGTATCATCAGTTGGCGCCATCTGTGGGAAGTGTTTTTGTTCCGCGTGCTAGTTGTGCTCATTGTCGCTGGAGACCCTCTCCCAATAACCCCCTCCTACCACCTGTGAAGGTGGATGGTCACAACTAGATCCATGGCTTCTCACCCCAATGTTACCAATCATCAAGCCGACCCTCCCAATCCAAATAACCCACCACAGTATTTCACCGAGCTCATCAACAGCATTAACCGCCTGGCCGAGCAAAACCAAGCCCTGATTAATGCTCTACTCTAAAGAAACCTTCCTATGCCTCCTCCACCGCCTCCAGATATCCCACCCAACCAAGAACGAGCCCCGAGCCATACTATCCTACAGCCTAATCCACCCAACGTGGAAGGCTTGCAACCCTCTCCCCCAGGTATAAACTTGCCACCACGGGGCCCGCATCCATCGATCCCGGCATCAACCCCTAAAGGAGAGGCCAGCAGCGTCCAGCCCCCGTTGCCTTTCGGTGGTGACAACATTCCTCTCTGGGACGCGGAACTCCGAGCCATAAAGCTCCAACTCCAAGGGGTCATGCAGAACATACAGCATAAACCATCTACCACAGCCAACTCCCCATTTGTTGCCTCTATCAGGGACAAACCTCTACCTCCTAAGTTTTAAATGCCCACGATCGACTCTTTTGACAGTATAACGGACCCAGTCGATCACTTGGAGACCTACAGAACCCTCATGATCCTCCATGCATTCCCCGATAAAATCATGTGTCGGGCTTTCCCCGTGAAACTCAAGGGGTCGGCTCGACTCTGGTTTAGTCAACTGCCAGCAGACTCTGTCTCCACTTTCCAACACCTCAGTGACTCCTTTCTCAGCCATTTCATTGGAACCCAGCGCCAGCGGCGTCCGGTAACCCAGCTCCTTAACATCTGTCAGACTGAGGGGGAGTCGCTGCGCAGCTTTGTCACTCGCTTCAACACCGAAGCTCTACAGGTGGCGGAAAACGATGACAAGGTCATCCTCACGGCATTCATGGCCGGCTTACGATCATCTGATTTCCTTTTCTCCCTCTCAAAAAACCCCTCGACCTCCATGGCAACCCTTCTTTCCAAAGCCCAAAAATACATGAACGCAGAAGATTCCCTAGCTGCTCGCCAGGACCCTATAGCTAAAAATCCGACCCCCAGAGAGAAGAGAAAGGACTCAGAAACCAGAAATACCCAGTACAATAACCAAACACCTCAGTATATCGACCGACCCCCCAGAGCCGATCGGTCGGCACCAGCCCGACCGCCCGACCGGTTCGAATGATACACACCCCTTAATTCCTCCATGGAACAAGTCCTCAATCAGATCCAACGAGACTACCCCCTAAAATGGCCCCAACCATCACGGTCTCCTTCCAGTCAGCGACCAGTCCAAATATTGCCGTTTTCACCAGGACCACAGTCATAATACTGAGGAGTGTGTTAACCTCAAAAATCAGGTCGAGGGCTTGATACGTTAGAGACGTCTCAGTCGGTTCACGGACACCCGCCCTCAGCAAAGGCAAAGGATCGAGCCCATCAGAAACATCCGCCGGCGCACTCCTCCCTGGCAACCAGCACAACCTAACCTTGGCCATGATCGCCCTCCACAGTAACCCCAAGCACGGTAACCCCGCCCCCTCTGTCGGAGAAATCAGAGTCATAGCCGGCGGGCTTGCTTGTGGAGGTCCATCCCGCTTGGCTCAGCGGGCAAAACTCAGAAAGATAAGACAGGGCTCAGACAAAGAAGTTGCCACATTAGACCGCCCTCCCAAATAGCCCAAGCAGTGGATGGAGCCCATCACTTTGACGGAAGCCGACTGCACAGGTATCCGTTACCCCCATGATGACCCCCTCATCATTTCTGCCCTCCTCTCCAATTATAAAGTTAGACGGGTCCTTGTCGACAATGGCAGTTCTTCAGACATCATCTTCCTAAATGCCTTCCACCAGCTCAAGATCGGGGACGAAAGTCTGTCTCCTCTCCAAACCCTGTTGGTCAGTTTCATTGGAGACCGGGTGACCTCCATCGGTTCCATCGATCTTTCCATCACCATCGGAGAATACCCACGGCAGACCACCAAGTTGTTTACTTTCCTAGTCGTCGACTGTCCCTCTGCTTACAACATCATCATCGACCGTACCACCCTAAATGCCTTCCAAGCTATTACATCCACTTTCCATCTTGCAGTCAAGTTCCCCACCGATCTTGGGGTCGGCACGGTCAGGGGAAAGCAGACTGTGGCCAGGGAATGTTATGTTGCCTCGCTTAAAAAGGTCAAGCTCAAAGAGGCCATGATCATTGAAGGACTCGACGTCAGAGATGAGGACGAGCTGGTTAGGGGGGAACCAGTGGAAGAGCTTGTCGAGGTCCTCATCGATCCCACCAACCCGGCAAAAACTGCCAAGATCGGCAGCCAACTATCCTCCCAGGCCAAGGCCGACCTCACTGCCCTCCTGATTGAGCACAATGACGTATTTGCCTGGACCCACTTCGACATGCCAGGTATTGACCCCTCCTGCATCACCCATCGTCTCAGCATTGAGCCCCATTTCTGACCCATCCGCCAGAAGCAACGCATCTTTCACCTGGAGTGCAATAACCTTATTGCTTCTGAAGTAGATAAGCTCCTTGAGGCACAGTTTATCACAAATGTGGATTACCCCAGATGGCTGTTGAATGTGGTTCTGGTTCGTAAAAACAATGGTAAATGGCGACTATGTGTCGACTACTTCAACCTCAACTGAGCTTGCCCCAAAGACAGCTATCTTCTTCCTCGCATAGATCTGCTGGTTGATGCCATGGCCAGTCATCAAATGCTCAGTTTCATGGATGCCTTCTTTGGATACAACCAAATTCTAATGCACCCGTCTGACCAAGAACACACATCCTTCATCACTGATCGGGAAACCTACCATTACCGTGTGATGCCATTTGGGTTGAAAAATGCTGGAGCCACTTACCAACGGTTGGTCAATGCCGTCTTTCATCACTAGATAGGCTGGAACATGGAAGTATATGTCGACGACATGCTAGTCAAGAGCAAGCTCTCCACTGATCATCTGGCCGACCTGCGAGAGACCTTCACCACCCTACGAAAGCATCAAATGAAGCTCAATCCAGAGAAATGCGCCTTCGGCGTAGGATCTGGAAAGTTCTTGGGTTTCATGGTCAGTCAGCGGGGCATTGAAGCTAACTCCGAAAAGATCAAGGCCTTAATTGAAATGCAGTCACCCAGAACGGTTAAGGAGGTTTAGAGGCTTACTGGCCGAGTTGCCACCCTCAACCATTTCATTTCCTGGGCAATGGACAAGTGCCTCCCCTTCTTCAAAGTTCTTCGGCAAACTTTTGAGTGGACGACAAAGTCCGAAGAGGCCTTTCAGTAGTTAAAACAGTGCATGGCCAACCGCCCCTACTTTCTCAGGCAATCACGGGTGAACCCCTCTTCCTCTATTTAGCCATGTCAAACATCGCAGTCAGTGCAGCACTCATCAGGGAGGACAACTCTGTCCAACGACTGGTCTACTACATCAGTCGGGCTCTCAGAGGCGCGGAACAAAATTACCCATTGTTAGAAAAAATGTCCTTGGCTTTGGTCACTGCCTCCAGACGACTCTGTCCTTACTTCCAAGCCCATGCCACAGTGGTCCTCATTGACCAACCATTGAAGAAGATAATACAACAACCAGAGCTTTTCGGCAGACTTATGCAATGGTCGGTCGAGCTCAGCCAATTTGACATCTCCTACCGGCCTCAAACGGCGATTAAAGGGCAGGCTATAGCCGATTTCATCCTGGAATTCACTAATCCTACTCCAACCACAGCTCCTCCGCCCCCGCCACCCCTTACCGAGCCAGAAGACCCCCACTCTTGGACCTTCAACGTCGATGGATCATCTCGTAAAGAAGGCAGTGGGGCTGGTCTCATCCTTACCGCCCCTGAGGGTGGTTATTTTAAATGTGCTCTCTCTTCTTGTTCGACACAAGCAATAATGAGACTGAATATGAAGC